TATATCAGTCTACCTCACCTATGTAAGTTACCTCACCTATGTAATTAGCTTGTGGGGTCAAGTGTCACAGTCAACATTGGATAAGGTTCTCCTTCAGAAGCGGGCTATACGTTTGACAAACGTTTCTCCAAAGTGTGAACACGCTATTCCTTTTTTTGTTAATCTTAATATCCTGCCTGTTCGTTTTCTTTCTGTTAAATCTGTTTCTTGTTTAATGTATGATGTCCAAAACAAGCTAGCTCGATCCTCCTCCTTTTCAAAATTTATTTACCTATGTCTCAGATACACATTCCTATAATACCAGATCAGCAACCACCAACAAATTTTTATGTCATGTGTCTTCTCGTTTTGAACAACTAAAGAATTCATTTTCCCGATTTGGCGTGCAGCTATGGAATGCTTTACCTGAAAATATTAAAAAGTCTGCCAGTAGAAACTTATTTAAGAAACAAATACATGAAACACTTATTAATATTTTCAAACAAAAAAATTTGTACCTTACACCATCTTCAATTCTTGAAATAATCAAAAACTTGTAAAACGTAGCAATCCTGTAACTAAGACCAGTATAGTGAAATATCTTTGTTTCTCTTTTCTCTGTGTAGTAATTTAATTTGTTTGGCTATTATTATGTGCATTTTTTTTCCATTGCTGCTATCATTATTTTAATTTACTATTTATTGTAATCTTTACTGCTGCTAATTTGAAATCCTTGTAAGTAGATGTGCATAGCACTAAAAACCCTAGTTGTGGTAAGCCTAACTTAATCATACCTACCCGCCTGTACTAGTTTTAACTATTTGTGGGTAGGTACTATTCAACTGTAAATATCTGTAACTTCTCAGTAAATAAAGTGTGTTGTTGTTGTTGTTTCTTTGACTTGTCACACTCTTGAAGCATAGTTCGAGGTGTTGAGGGTAAAATTATCTAGAACTGATCTGAAGGGGAGCAAAGATTACTTTGAGCTAGTAGGAGGCTCAAGTTACTAAGGGTTTGAGTTACCTAAGGTAAAATTAGAGTAAATGTATGAAGGAAATTCAGCAAAAATCGATTGTGGTTCGAGTTAGTGCAAGGCTTGAGTTAGAGAAGGTTCGGATTATTGGAAGACAACTAGTGTATCAGTCATACAAAGTCCCAGTTTTTAGATGTTATTTATTGGCATTATTTTTTAGCTTGTTTTTGGTAATTTTAAAGGTGTCATTAAAAAGATAAGATGGCAAATTATTATTAGATCTACTTAAACTCAATCATTATTGTTATTATGTGATGTTTTTAAAAATGGTCGTTTACCCTTTTTGTGTATAATTTGTTTAAGCTATGAAAATACCATGGCAATGAAAGGATTTTGATAAAACAAAAGGGAAAATCAAGTAACCCTAAAGCAGTTGTATTTACCTTTTCTTTCTGCAGTAACTTTTGTGGTGCACCTTATTGTCATGCGTACAGTGACTCCTCAATATGAACTTGTTACGTTTTAAAACTAAAAGTCACTTGGGTGCACAAACATTTCTAGCTATTAGTTTGGTAACATGTTTATGGACTTTACACATTGTGTCACTTAAAAATTACTTGAAGAGAGGAATATTTGCCTATATAAACATTTATAAAAAAGGCAGAAACAGTTCTAATTTATTTCTCGCGCGACAACTTTGCATTATTTTATAGCGGAGCTCCACGCGCGCGCCTCGCGCGCGCGTGGACGGAGCCCCATAGCTAAGGAAATGTGGTAATCTACCCATCCGAGAAAATTTGGTAATCACGTGACCGTACGACCGTCCGTCCGCACCACAGGGAAACCAATGTTTACTCACAATTTCTAGCTAGTTTGGGAGCCCAATAGAAAACTAATAGCATATCAATGTTGTGATCAATTGACAGCTGTCAAAACAGGATATCCGCTGACCAGTATCACCTGACCGTACCGCGGACTCAAGTGTCGGCCCATCGAGGTCGAGTACTTTTTTGAAGTTATCCGCTGAGAAATTACCAGTTTCAAATGATCGCAGGCTCAAGTCTATTTTTTCCAATGATTCATATGAAATATGCTGTGTTTATGTCACTATAGCCCCGCACTGTCAAGATTTTGATTTCAAACTGACCTCGGACGCGAAAATTCAGCCACTTTTTTAAAAATAAAGGCGGGGAAGACTTTTCTTACCATGGTCACACGTTGGTCACGCTCTACGTCCAATTTTTGTACTCTGATTGGTCAAAATTTGACGGGTGAGTTCATGCGGAAAATTTATGCAGCATCTTGAAAGTTGCTTACTTTGACAGCAAAAGCTGACAGAGTTTTGTGTCAACTTGTGATGTTTTTAACTGTCTTTTTCCACCGGATGTACAAAATGAAATACAACTGCTATCAAGAGTCTTCTGTTATCCATGGCTGGTTTGTTTATTGGGTTTTTGGTTGAGAAATGCATCGCTTGTCAAAATTGGGTAATCCGATTTCGGATGGCATCGTTTTCGTCTTTCACTTTGCTCAATGCTTAGAGGGTTTAAAAGTCTCAAGCAACTATGACCTTCCTTGATATCTTTCAGGAACTGAATCTCGAATGGTAAGCCTGAGTAATTATTGTATTTAATGTTTGTTTTTGTTATATCTAATTTCATGAAGTCGAGCACAGTTTATGCGGCAAGTTTTTGCACGTTTGTTGAGATTTGAGTCAATGATCTGATCTAGTATCAGGTTTGATATAAGCTTACAGAACTTTAAAAGGCCTTCAGATATATTTTCTCACGGCAAATAGAAATATTTAGTTATAAATTTGGCTGTAGAAAGAAAACTTTGAGTGATTTTCTTGTTTCGAGGAGTTCACCTTTGAAAAAAAAACAAACATCGGGAGGCCGGCTGAAAGTAAAACAAAATAAACTTAACCTTGAGCTTTAAGCTTAAAGACTCAGGATTTTTAGAGACACTTTAATACTTGTCTTCGTGAATGAAAATTGTTGTCTCTGTAAATGTTTTACCGAATTATATTTCTTTTATTGATTGTTAGTAGTCTCTCTTGCAATTTTAATTGCTTGTTCGTGGTGTTTGTTTTCATCGTTCATGAACACCGCAGGAGTACTTAGAGATGTCGCGCGTATCAAATGCTTTATAAGATTAGACATCGTTATAACTGGAACCATTAAATAACAAAAATAATGATAATAAATTCGTTATTATTTTGAAGCGTATCTCCATTAAAGTTCATTCAAACACTCGATCACACTGACAGCTCGCACTAAAAATGAGATCTGGCTGGCCGTATGGGTGATTTAAGAAATTTTTTGAACGGTTTTGCTAAAAGCCCACGATTGATCGTCCTGAATATTGAAAAATTGTGAAATGCTGTATTCTGTCCGAGGTCTGTATGATAAAAAGTACTGTTTCACCTCAAATGTGATGTATAAAAAGTACAAAAAGCTGGTTTACACACCCTCAGATTTGTTGACAAGAATTTGTAAAGTAAACCTGTGGAACGCAAAAAAATGCGGCCTGATTTGTTTTCCAATAATTTTTTTCTTTTCGAGGCCTAATCTACTGTGATCAAGAGCCATTATGGCTCTTGAATGTGATAGAAGATGTTTGCTATTTTTTGGGTGTACATATAATAATATTTAAGCTATCAACGCGATGTAAGGTGTTTCACTCTAAAATAACTTATCCTTTCCCTCAAAAGTCACATGAATGTACCCTTAAGTTAACTGATTTGTGGATTACAAGTTTATTGTTTGATTTAAAATATAAATTTATTAATGGGAGCTTCGCTTTTAGCCCTGGCTAAATCTATATATTATCTCCAAATATGGATGACAAGCTGAAGGCAACAAATAACCGGAATGAGATAATCATAAACTATTGCATCCTACACAATGCGATGATTAGCTTATTATTTTGAGAGATTTCTTCAGTAAGTAATCAAGGTTTTTTTTTTATTAAACAAATTTCAAAGACACGGAGATTTTGTTCATGGTGGTACTTTCCGTGATGTTACTTTTAGTCTTTGATCTTGATCTTTAAGGGCAATTATTAACTGTTCTTTGAAGGTTTCTCTTTCTCCATGTGCTCAGGCCATCTTGATCGAAGCTTATAACTGATTCCGCGTGTCCTACATGAATGATTCAAATGTGTGTACTTTCCCAGGCTATCTAACTTTTATATTTGGTCCTAATGCTTTCTACCATGTTGAGAGCTGTTGTTGGTAGTCTCCACTCACCACCAGTTTTTGTTGATGTTGTCTTGAAGGTGCATATTAACCAGCATTTGTATTAAGTGGGTTAATTTTAGATTATATAAAGGAGATTTTTGCCGGGACAAACAAAACTGTCTGCTATATACAGTTGTCTGTATAAGGCAGGTGTCGGTAATGAGGGGTTCCACTGTACCATACATTACCAGACCCAAAAACAAAACAAAAATCAATCCAGGGATAATATAAAATTAAACCCCAGTAAATACAGCTTTAATACCTTATTTAGTTAAAATATACAGTAATTTTGCACAGATGACTTGATAGCTAAAGTCATTTTGTCAGTTGACTACAGTGTTGGCACTAAATTTTTGCGGGAGTTTGATTTTGCGGATTTGCATTTTTTTGTGTTTTGCGGAAGCTAATTTTTGTGATTAGGTCAGATTGGTTTTTCTTGCCGGGAAAAATTTGTGATTCTCAGAGAAAGTCCTGAACAAATCATTGATAATATTTTTATTTGAATCGAGTATGTGCAATAGAAGTACATACAAACCAAACATACAAACAAATTAGGCTCAGAAAAATGTTATATGTTAAAGGACAATTAAAGTTACGTGTTAAAATTCAGGCCATCTAGAGCTAAAAAAGGAAAATGTTCAGAGGTAGAAAAAAATATTTTCCTGTAGGCCATTTATGCATCCTCACCTTCAATCACATGTATATGAGTTAAGTATATGTTTAACCATTCAATTTCCTCTTCGAAAGAGTAAAGTGAAGAGCCTGAGAGGAATAACAGTTAAACTGTATTTTGTTGTCTCTCCAGGTATGCCACATGTACAGAGAATGGAGGTTGATCAGGATGGAGTTAATTTAACAAAGCAAATGCTGGTCAGTCTCTTTCATTCGTTGTGCTAAAATATTTAACTTTTTCACTAACCTCAGGCATTAACAAAAATAGTTTGTATCAGCAGGTGTGCAGCCCTGAACAGGGATGCGAGTTATGAACTTCCTGCGATTGTTAATCTTTTTTTTTCATATGACTAATTCTTATGACAACACTGAGCATCTATCACTGATGAAGTCTGTGCGATACAGTTAAAAGCTACGACTAGAAAATCGAAACCTTGGGAGACTAGAATTTATTTTTTCAAGCTTAATTACCAAGGTCAAGAATGAGTATTAATGATATTAAATATCACGTAAAAAATGTTCAGAGAAACAGGAGAATATAAGGCTTGACAACAGCTTTTTTATTTATTTTTCAATGGGTAGAAAATTTTTGTAGATGGGCTTTCCTTAGTTTTGATAACCAAAGATTTTTTTAACTCCGATCTTTCTCTTTTGACAGGTGTCCTGCCAAGAGGGTCAATCAGCAAGTATTCTAGAGTGAAGACCTTAAAGAAAGTAAATAAATTTCAGTAATAGAAAGCATACTGTTGTTCAGTATTTGTAATGGCTTAGCAATAATTTTCTGACTTGCAACTATCAATTGAAATTGCTTTGATAGTCTAAAATAAGGTAAAGTGTATGAGAAGAAAAAAAATTGTATTTCATTGTCTCTCCAGGTGTGCAGCATGTACAAAGAATGGAACTCAGGAACAAATAATTAAACCAAATATAAGTCAATCATTTTGATTTATTTCACTGCTTCAAATTAAACGGTAGTTTTGTTCACTGTCATCAGGTCACTTGATAAAGTCAGTTTGTCAATTGACAGTCACGTGTTAACAGAACATCCACCGATAAAATCACCATGTAATTAAACTTGGTCTTTTGGTTGAGTGCTTTCTAAAATGTATAAGTTTTGGCAGTTTAGTGGTGACCTGTGAAATCTTTGGACAAAAAAACTAAGTGGGTACCATCATTAGTGCTGAACAAAGAAGCAAGGCTCCAGAAAATGTTACTTGCATAAAGAAAAGGTCATGTGCCAAGATTCATGCCATCTAGAGCAGAAAATAAAAGACCAGAGATTTAAAATTTAATTTAGATTATTTAACAAAGTATATGCTCCCTCACCTTCACTTATGTCGGTTGAATGCTGTACTTATGCAATTTTCCCTGAAGAAGAGTGAGGTATATAGAGCATGAGGGACAAAAATTAAACTGTATTTTATTGTCTCTCCAGCTAATGCCACATGTACAGGGAATGGAGGTTGATCAGGATGGAGATAATTTAACCTGGCAAATGCCGGTCAGTCTCTTTCATTTGTTAAGCTATAATATTGAACTCTGTATTGGTAGGTTTAAGACAAAAACAAATAGTTCAGTTTGTACCAGTATTGTTTGCATGAACCATGCATGCATAAGTACAGGTAGTTGCAGTAATTATTCAATTTCCTTGCTTACCTATTGTAGATTAGTTTCAGAAAAAAAGTTAACTGTAATTCATTGTCTCTTTCAGGTATGCCACAAGGACAGAGAGTGGTGTTCAATGATGCAGGATGGAGATAATTTAACCCGGCAAATGCTGGTCAGTCTCTTTCAATCGTTAAGCTAAAATATTGAACACTATATTACAAGGTGTTAGAAGCCAACACAGAAAACAGTTTGTACCAGTATTGTTTGCATCAATTGTGCAAGCACAAGAACAAGCAGTTGCAGTAATTATTAAATTTCCTTGCTTACTTATTGTAGATTAGTATCAGAAAAACAGTTAACTGTAATTTCATTGTCTCTTTCAGGTATGCCACATGGACAGAGAATGGTGGTCAATCAGGATGGAGATAATTTAACCCGGCAAATGCTGGTCAGTCTCTTTCAATCGTTGAGCTAAAATATTGAATTCTTTCACAGGGTTAAGACATTAACCAAAAAATAGTTTTTACCCAGATTGTTTGCATCAACCATTGTTTGCATCAACCAGTGTCCGATGACGATAATAGCCTTAATTTGCACAAGAAAACAACAAACTCAAGGATTCTGGTAGTTGTAGTAAAATGACGTCATCGTGCAATTGTCCTATAGGGATGGGGCATATGAATTTCCTGCGATTTTTAATCTTTTTTTTTTTCCATGTGACTAATTCTTGTGACAACACTGAGCATCTGTCACTGACAAAGGATGTGCAATATAGTTAAAAGCTATGACTTGAAAATCTAAAACTTGAAAGACGAGAATTTTATTTTTTCAAGCTAGATTATCAAGGTCAAGAAATTATGAGCATTTATAAATAAATATGTTCAGAGAAACGGGAGAATATAAGGCTTAACAACAGCTTTTAAATTTTTTTTAATGGGTACAAAATATACGTGGACGGGCTTTCCGTAGTTTTGATAACCAAAGATGTTTTAACACTGATCTTTCTCTTTTGACAGGTGTCATGCCAAGAGGGTCAATCAGCAAGTATTTAAGAATGAAGACTTTAAAGAAAGTAAATAAATTTCAATGATAGCAAGCATACTAGTGTTAAACATTTGTCATGTCTTAGCAATAATTTTCTGACTTGCAACTATCAATTAAAATTGCTTTGATAGTCTAAAATAAGGTACAGTGTATGAGAAGAAAAAAATATATATTTCATTGTCTCTCCAGGTGTGCAGCATGTACAAAGAATGGAACTCAGGAACAAATAATTAAACCAAATGTAAGTCAATCATTTTGATTTATTCCACTTGCTTAAATAAAACAGTAGTTTTGTTCACTGTTATCAGGTCACTTGATAGCTAAGTCAGTTTGTGAATTGACAGTCACGTGTTAACAGAACATCCACTAATAAAATCACCATTTAATTAATCCTGGTGTTTTGGTTGAGTGATTTGTAAACTGTATAAGTTTTGGCAGTTTAGTGGTGACCAGTGAAATCTTTGGACAAAAAAAAATAAGTGGGTACCATCATTAGTGCTGAACAAAGAAGAAAGACTCCAGAAAATGTTATTTGCAAAAAGAAAAGGTCATGTGCCAAGATTCATGTTATCTAGAGCAGGAAAAAAACACCAGAGATTTAAAGCTTAATTTATAATTAGATTATGTAAAAAAATATATGCGTATGCAGTTTCCTCTTTAAGAGTGAGGTATATAGAGCATTAGGGACAAAAGTTAAACTGTGTTTTGTTGTCTCTCCAGCTATGCCATATGTACAGAGAATGGAGGTCGATCATGCACGATGGAGATAATTTAACCTGGCAAATGCTGGTCAGTCTCTTTCATTCTTTAAGCTACAATATTGAACACTGTATTACTAGGTGTTAGAAGCCAACACAGAAAACAATTTGTACTAGTATTGTTTGCATCAACCATGCATGCTCAAGAACAAGCAGTTGCAGCAATTATTCAATTTCCTTGCTTACACGTATAATTATATAGATCAGCATGAGAGAAAACATTAACTTTAGATCTTTGTCTTTGTCTTTGTGCAGGGAATGGAGGTCAGGATGGAGCTAATTTAACCCAAATCCAGGTCAGTCCCTTTCATTTAGCAAGCTAAAATGTTAAACTGTATCCGAGGTTTCAAATCTGACTTTTTAAGCTGTACAATTTACATAGTTGTGTTAAGGATTTAAGTGGAATCCAATTTTTCCAAAATAATTGGGCTGTCCTTTAAATTTGGTCTTGAAACATTTCTCAGTATTAAATTCTCAGTATCAGCCATGTTCATTTCTTTACGAATGTGAGCATTTTGCTTTAACTGACATTTTTTGGTCTCAAAAATATCCCTTCTTATAATTTGTATGTGATGCCATTCAGTAAAATGTTTGTAACACTGTCAACCGTTTTTCCCATTGGGAACATGTGCTAGTAACTTAAGCAAAGTTTCTGTTGTGATATATGATATATGTGATATATTTCTTGTTATTCAGATATCACGTTCAGGAAGTCAGTGTTTTGCTGGAGTAGACAAGGTAAGTTAATTTACTTATCCCTTGAAGAGTGATGTTACATCAGTACCTTAGTATATACTCCAGTTGAAGGAAAATTTATGATTCCAAGTACCCGGCATGAGTTTGGTTAGGTCTAAATACCTTTCTTGACTTTGCTACCTAAATGTGTAATTCACGCCATTCCATGCCATAGCAACACTTTCAACTTAATCATTTTTTTTTTTCAAGAATAGCAGCCCCTAGGAATAAGAACTAGGAAGTCTGTTTTGTGTAAGAAAAAAATTATGAACATTTAAAACAGAGATTGTAAATTGCTGCACCTAGAAAAAATTTGATTTTATTCCCATGAATATGATGTGAAAATAAAAATGTGGCCAATGCTCTGGGGGTGTTTTTTAAATCTTTCCATTACAGCCCATCTCATATTTGTTTTCATTTGTTATCGATAAGACTTGATTAGAAAATTGTCCCTTAAATCTTTCCTTTGACCTCTGATCAGTGACCACAAAAGAGTAAACAACGTTGAGTTTAGGATTGCTTTTTTATGAGTAAGTGGTTACTGAAATGGGTACCACTCAGAGTGTATTGGGTTCATTAATAAGGAAGAGGCGGTGCAAGGCTTGGGAGACCAGCATCACACACCGACTAGAAATGGGTGCCACTCAGAATGTATTGGGTTCATCAGTTGTTAATATTATTTTATGGTTTCATACGTGCAATTAGGTATCATTTAATACCATGGAAATGGTAGTCATGAAGAGGATGGGATGTCCACCTATAAAATTGGTAAGTTTATTTCATAATTATAGCTAACGAAAGGTCTTCCTGTGGGATGATAACTGATGTTTTTATATGAAAGACAATTTTCACTGAACTTACACGTAGATTTTGTGGTACAGTTAGATGAAATTTTCCTTGTTACAAATTTTACAAGATTTTTCCACCCTAACATTACCATGACCACTGTAAAGTAACTTTATTGGTTACTTGAAAAACACAAGGTCTGCTAACTGACTGCACTGACTTTGTTTACCATGACTGGTACACTGGTTGATACAGATTAAGACTGGTATAGTCAGAGAACAATCTTCGCAAAAACCAAAAAAAGCCTGTAAAAACTGTTAAAAACCTAACTGAAGATGAGAAAAGAAATGTAACAACCGTTATTGAAAGTAAGGATGGAAATTTCTGAGTGAAGCTCAAGATGTTCTAAGCAGATGGCAAAGAATACCATGACGAACTGTACAATTGTCTGATTGACAAAGATGATGCAGTGCAGGACACGCTGAAGAGCGGTGCTGTACCAAATAAAGCAGCTCCACTGATGCCAAGAGCAGAGGTTGATGAAGCTGCGATAGCTCTAAAAGACATCAAAGCTTCTGGTGTGGATAACATTAGAGGATAGCTGCTTAAATGTGGTGGAGATTGACAGTTCTAAATATACCACACAATATTCTCAACAAGATCTTAAAAACTCGAATCTGGCCTGAAGATTGGACCACATCAATACTGAATCCAATCCCAAAGAAATTGTCATACAATTGTACTAGAGGATAGCTGCCTAAATATGGTGGAGATTGGTAGTTCTTTATATACTACACAATATTTGCAACAAGATCTTAAACTCGAGTCTGGCCTGAAGATTGGACCACACCAATACTGATTGCAATCCCAAATAAAGTGTCATACAATTGTGCTGACCAAAGAGCAATTGCACTTATCAGTACAAGCACCATTCAAACATTGAGGAACAAGAAGTTTCCATGGATACATGGAAGAAAAGGCAGTTACCATCCATGCCAAAATAAAAAGTTGTTTCCCGACACATTAAAGGAGGACAAGATATTACCTTATAAATGGAGAGAAACAATTAAGCACACAGCATTTACTCACAGCATAACAGTTTAAGTTACCATCCATACCCAAGAAACAGCATTATTACCATGCTCAGACAGAAGAACAAGCAGATACCATCCGCAAACAGAGAAACAAGTTACAATCCACACACAAGAAACATGTAGTTTCCCAGCACAAAGGAGGATAAGCAGTTACTGTGCAAATAAAGAAGAGAAAGCACATAGCATTCACTCACAGAAAAGCAAGTTAAGTTACAATCCATACCCCCAAAACAAGCAGTCACCATGCAAAAGCAGAACAAGAACAGCTTTCGCTCACAATATTAATATTTATTAAAAATAAGTTACAAATCACACACAAAAAAGTGCAGTTACTCTGCACTCATAGTATTTATCCACACACAGACAAATTCAAGCTAAGTAACCATGTACACAAAAGAAAAAGCTACGTTATGATACAGATAATTTAAAAACGAGTTTCCTTCTGTCCTGGGACAAAAGAGAAGTCAAGCTTGGTGAAAATGCACACAGTGAAGAACTTCCAGTTACCATACACACCAGCTCACAAACGAAAAATAAGTTGCTGCACGCATACAGAAGCAGTAACCTTGCATTCATATTATAACAAGCAGTGCCCATGAAGATTTAAGGGATCAAATGTGCACTGCAGAACAACAAGCAGTTAACATTGACACACAGGACAAACAGGTAGATTTCACACGCTGAAGTACAAACCGGTACCATTCACACTCGGTAGAAAAAGCAGATACCACGCACACACTGAAGAACAAGCAGTTACCATCCACACACTGGAAAACAAGCAGTTACCATGCACTCACCGAGGAACAAACAGTTACCACCCACACTCTGAGGAACAACCAGTTACCTAGCAGACACTGGAGAACAACCAGTTGCCACCCACACACTGAAGAACAAACGGTTAACACCCACACACTGAAGAACAACCAGTTAACACCCACACACTGAAGAACAACCAGTTACCATGCACACACTGAAGAACAACCAGTTACCATCCACACTCTGAAGAACAACCAGTTACCATGTACACACTGAAGAACAACAAGTTGCCAGCCACAGACTGAAGAACAATCAGTTATCATGCACACACTGAAGAACAACAAGTTGCCAGCCACACACTGAAGAACAACCAGTTACCATGCACACTCTGAAGAACAACCAGTTACCATGCACACTCTGAAGAACAACCAGTTACCATGCACACACTGAAGAACAACCAGTTACCATGCACACACTGAAGAACAACCAGTTACCATGCGCACACTGAAGAACAACCAGTTACCATCCACACACTGGAAAACAACCAGTTACCATGCACTCACTAAGGAACAACCAGCTACCACCAACACTCTGAGGAACAACCAGTTACCTCGCAGACACTGAAGAACAACCAGTTGCCACCCACACACTGAAGAACAAACGGTTACAATCCACACACTGAAGAACGACCAGTTACCACCCACACACTGAAGAACAACCAGTTACCATGCACACACCGAAGAACAACCAGATACCATGCACACACTGAAGAACAACCAGTTACCATCCACACTCTGAAGAACAACCAGTTACCATGCACACACTGAAGAACAACAAGTTGTCAGCCACACACTGAGGAACAACCAGTTACCATGCATAGACTGAAAAAGAAGCAGTAACCATGTTCACAGAAGAACAACCAGTTACCTTGCAGACAATGAAGAACAACCAGTTACCACCCACACACTGAAGAACAGGCAGTAACCATCCACACACAAAAGAACAACCAGTTACCATCCACACACTGAGGAACAACCAGTTACCATCTACACAGTGGAGAACAACCATTTATCATACAGACACTGAAGAACAACCAGTTACCATGTGCACACTGAAGAACAACCAGTTACCATGCTGACATTGAAGAACAAGCAGTAACCATGAGCACACTGGAGAACAACCAATTACCATCCACACTTTGAGGAACAAGCCGTTACCATGCACACAAAGAAGAACAAGCAGTTACCATGCAGACCCTGAAGAACAACCGGTTACCATCCACACACTGAAGAACAAACAGTAACCATGCGCACGCAGAAGAATATACCGTAATTAGTCCCTCTTCTGCTCAAAAATCTGTGAGCGAGTGAAGCGAGTGTGAGCATTAGGACAAGCGAAAAAAGAGTGCACTGGTTTCATTCACATTTCTGAAACCTCAGGTGGCAGCTTGACAGCTCGCATCATCAACAGCCTTTTCTAAAACTATGCTAAGTGACGTCAGGGTCAAATTTTTCATTGAAATAGGTCGGCGATCGAAGCCTGGAATATCTAAATGATGAACGGTTCCATGCCAGAGAATTGAAGCCTGTTCACAAGATTTCATCAAGGTCAGGAAAAAATATTCAGATCAGCCGTCCGATTTTTGTCGTTTGTGCAAGTGTTGTGTTTAAAACGTTTATGGAAATTTATCTCCCAAAAGCATCGTTAGTGAACTTTCAGATGAACCCACTGAACACAAAAAATATTTTTAATGTCTCTCGTCGAAGGGGAGAAGAAAGGCTTTCTCTGAACTCTATTTTTGAGCGGCTTGGAGTTTTTGTATGCAGAAAATGTTAACCAAACTGAGAAACGCAGGCCCTTCTATTACTACCTTCACACAAGAAATCAATTGGGAATAAATTTGGTGCAAAACTTATTCAAATCTCAACAGTTTGGAGTATGGATCTCTTAATAAGAAAAAACTTTGAACAATTTGATTGTTGCTTTTCAGAATATGTTAAAGATCTCATTATTTTTAAGTTTTTAAGATAATCACTTGCTATTGTTTTGATTTCCCCGAGTACAAAAATATTTGGTAGCAAACATTTTGCGCCTTGATGACAGGTCGACCAGACATTGCTTTGTTTAAACGGTGGGGCAGGTCTCTAATTGATGTTGATAAGCTGTTGATGACAGATGAGTGTAATTATGACCAGCCATTGGTCCGTCACCAGAGTGTTGGGCTTCAGAAATGTTGAATGAAGCCAGTGCTCGTACTGGCGCCCTCACAACCCACTGCTCACTGCTTTGCCCTTGCATACTCAATTATTACACTGGCTCACAGACTTTTGAGCAAAAGAGAGAATGCTTGCAGTCTAACAGAAGAACAACCGGTCACCATGCACACACAGAGGCTGCAAGTCTCATTTTCATGTAATTTTAGGATGATATTTCTCATCAAACCGGTTTGGAGCTGATTTGCGTGTTTGTTTTCACTGACGCTGCAGCTGGAAATAATTTAAACAAAGCTTCTTCCTCGAGCAATGTTGATTCAGTTGTCGGATGTTCACATGTTTCGAACTTTAACCAGAGGTGTCTTAGCCACACTTCTAAAAGAAAACAAGGTCTTTCCGAATTATATTGTTTGTTATGAACATCAAAACTGGTTTTTAATCCCATGTGGTGAAGTTCCTCGATGAAGCCAATCAAGTTAGCTGTTACATCGTTAATTCCCTGGGGATGTGGGAGTAACCAGTTGGTGACCCAGTTCAGATCCTGAACTGATTTCTCAGATGGAAATGAGGTTACTTGCTTGTGTGACCAGAGGCCTGTCTCGGGAGCTTTATCAAACCGTGCGCGTGGATGGTTATTTCATCCTAGGTATTTCAAGAACGGACCTTTGGAGCCAGGGTAGCTGCTGATTAACTCATTGATCATAATGACTATCAACGGCCTGCATCTTGAGCTCCAGTCGGACTACAAGAAACACCATAGTACAGAGTCAGCACCTGTAAAAGTGAAAAACAATTTCTTATTGAATATGGATGTATAGAAGGTGATCTTGTTGGTTCTCTTAGATATTCGCATAGCGTGTGATACTGTGCGCCACAACATCTTGCTGGATCGTCTGAGGTCAAGACTCTGTGTGACTGACAAGGCAACTGTACCTCTCTAACTATATGCAGTGTGTTGCAGTCAGATACCTTTCCACTTTTGCAAGAGGTGCCACAAGTGTCGAGTCTTGGCCTGCTTCTGTTCACGGTATACACTGCAAACTATTCGAGATAGTGTGCACTCTTACACAGACTAGGCTGAGTTCACTGACTAGAAAGACTCCGACCACACCAACTAGACTGACTGCACCTACTAACTACAGTGATTACACCGGCTAACCCCCCTCCATTTTAAATATATTTATTATTACAAATTTTCTACTTGATAACCTTAGCAGCCAGCCCCACTCAGTGATCACCTCTTGCCTTTTGTCCAAAATTCATGTGGTCATTTGATGAATGTTTAGGAAAAAATGTGAAATCTTTAAGTTAACACTGTAAAACTATACTGTTTTTGTTTAAAATGACACACTAAAAGGAAAATTCCAATTGTTCAAATTTTGTGAATAGTCATTAAAAAAACAACAACAGCAAATTAGTAAACTGCGCCGGGTTGTTCAAAGCTGGGTTAAGGTAACCCTGGGGTAGTGCGAAATTGAAATTCACATATGAAAGTCTATAAAGCAAATTCAGTTTAATTCTTTTTGCATATAATTTGTTAATTGGATGCTCCCAAAAGAATAGAGAAAATTGTCCCGGAAAATGCTTTTGAATGAAAGAAAACGAAACCCGGATAAAAATTTAACTCTAGGTTAGTGCTAATCGGCCTTCGAACAACTGGGTCCTGATGATATTTTGGTTACAAATTTCATTTGTGTTGAAAACCGGTTACTTTGTTATTGACGTTTTCTTGGAAAACATCTTTTAACTTGAAGATCAGAGTTGTGGTAGTAAAATATTCCTTTTTGCTTAAGTGGTCCATCTTTTAATTGGTTTATATTTTCAATCAAGGCCATGTAAAATTGTGGGGCACTGGCACCCAGCTGTAGGCAAATTTAATCAAATTCACAAAAGTCTTGAAAGCAAAATAGCCTTTGTATTAGTAATTGTAAACCAAGTTCAGCTTCTTTTTAAAAAAAATAAACTGATGAAAAGGGAAAAAGAGGCATTAGGTGATTAGTCCGGGTTGGCTTTTAACCTATTAATTAAGCATTTTAATTTTTTGCTTGGAAAATAGTTTTCATGTATGGTAATCATAGAGCACATGCCTAAATCCAACTCCCACTTATCTAAAAATTAAAAATAAAAATTAATGCAGTACACTATGAAATTTCATGGTGACAAATAATCTGTTAAGACTAAAATATTCCTTTAGTTCCATCCATGTACCTCCAATTAAATCAGTGACGATATACATGCAAGGAAAGAAAAAAAAAGAAACGACCATTTGGTGGTCACTTTGCATATTTTATGAGTGACACAGATATAAACAACATCTTACTAATAAATTGCATGGTTTTTATCCAGCTAGCTGGCATGCAGTGTCGTGGAACTTCTTGGTCATAAGAGGATTGTGTGTATTGGATGGGGTGAGTTTTATTCTTTCTTTCTTTATTTATTTATTCAGGTCTCACTGTGGGGTGATAAGTTAGGACAATTTTCCCTTGCTTTTGCATAGATTTTCCATATTACTTAAGCTGAAAAATTCAACAAAAGAACTAAACAATTTCCAAAAATGGAATGACTACCCATACACTCAAAAATACAGTTGCATTAGCCAAGAAAAAACAACAGCATAAGTGACCAGATGGAGAAAAATCCCAGCACATTATATTTCATACACAGAAAAACAAGTGGATAGAGCTTCATGCATACACGTGATAACTGGCAGCACTTGCGTGGCTTAGTGATTAAGTTCTCTCTTTTTAAATTAAACACATAGTAGTCGCATACCTCCTGCCGCCGTTTAATTTTGTTTGGGTGAGTTGTGGAGGTGGTTTAGCTCCGGGTTGAACCTCTGTTGTCGGGCAGTTTTGCTTTATTTTTCTTTAAGTTCTCCGAAAAATTTTGACTTGAATTTTTTTTGCTTTTTTTTTTCCTTCTTTTTAATCAGGAAGAGAGTTCCCAATTCAGACTCTTTTTCTGGTTAAAAAAGAAGAAAGAAAAAGAGGAAAAAAAAAAGTAAGTCAAAATTAATCTGACAATTTGAAGAAAAAAAAAAGGAAAATGGCCCGACAACGGGGGCTCAACCGGGGGCTGAACCCCCTTCTTAAGTCACTCAAATTAAATTAAACGGCGGCAGGGGGGGGAGCGGCCGCCATGTGTTTAATTTAATGAAAGTGAGCTTATCCACTAGGCCACGCAAGCGTTGCCTGAGAAAGTGAGGCAAAATTAACCTAGAAGTAGGTACAGGTTCTATTGTTCTCAGTGAATCACGCCGTTTAGTCATAATTTATTCAAATCCCGTGTGGAATGTTTTCTTATTTGTAATTCAAAGTTCAAACTCCAAAAATAATAATCTTGAATATTCGCAACTTAAATTGAATTGAAAGGCAGTTGTTTTGTCATAACTTCAAGTAGAATACGTTGTAAACTAGTTTCTTGTAGTACCGGAAAACATTTAGATGAACAAAACGCGTGTGAGTAGTTTTATTTCGAATGTTGTTCGTTAGTTATAATTTATTGATATCCCGTGCAGAATGTCAGCTGGAACACTACTTAATATTCAAAAACGACTTGTCCGTCTATTTATTCAGATCAAGTTTTAATTTTTGTTGCCGCGTTAAACGTTCTTCGGAATAATGTTTTTGTTTGTTTCGTCTTTTCAGTTTCAAAGCTCTGAAGATTGAAGTAATGGACGAGTAGAAGTGGTTCTAAGAAGACCAATATTACTGTAGTAAATTATCAGTAAAGTTTATTTGAACATGTTGAGTGCTTGTTTCGACTGAGTAGTACAGAAGAGTAATATGTATACTACTATTTGAAAGTGAAGAAAAATTTTGACTAAGTCCGAAGACTAGTATGTATACTACTATTTGAAAGTGAAGAAAAATTTTTGACTCAGTCTGAAGACTAGTATGTATACTACTATTTGAAAGTAAAGAAAAATTTTTGAGTAAGTCTGAAGTCTAGTATGTATACTAGTATATAAGAGTGAAGAAAAATTTTGACTAAGTCCGAAGAGTAGTGTGTATACTAGTATATAAGAGTGAAGAAAATTTTTGACTAAGTCCGAAGACTAGTATGTATACTACTATTTGAAAGTGAAGAAAAATTTTTGACTAAGTCCGAAGACTAGTATGTATACTACTATTTGAAAGTAAAGAAAAATTTTTGACTCAGTCTGAAGACTAGTATGTATACTACTATTTGAAAGTAAAGAAAAATGTTTGACTAAGTCCGAAGACTAGTATGTATACTACTATTTGAAAGTGAAGAAAAATTTTGACCAAGTCTGAAGACTAGTATACTACTGTGTAAGAGTGAAGAGACTATGTATAAGAGTGAAGAAAACTTTGAGTCTACGAGAAAGTATTTAAACGACTAGTTGAAAATAGAAACTAGTATTTGAATACTGTATGAAAGTAGAGAAGTTAGTGAATCTTTTTTAAAAAAATAACTTCACTACTTTCAAACCGCATTCAAATAGTAGTTTCTATTTTCAAGTAGTCGTTCAAATACTTACTTGCTTATCGTTGACTCTTAGAACAACAAAAAATAAAATTTATTTCTTTTACAATCCTTGATTGAAAAAAATCTTGTTTCTTCTTGTAAACTTCGAGTTGATCACTAAAAGAAGAGAGAGAATTCATGTCAAATTTCAGTTGTAATGTGTGACAAGGCGATAAACATTCTTCACGGGATGTGAATAAATCATGACTTATCAACGTTATTCTATGAGAACAATAGAGCCTGTACCTACTTCTACCTGTAGGTTAATTTTGCGTCTCTTTCTCAGGCAACGTTAGCGGATAAGTTCGCTCTCTTTAAATTAAACACATGGCGGCCGCTCCCCCCTGCCGCCTTTTAATTTAATTTGAAAGGGGTTCAGGTCCCGGTTGAACCCCCGTTGTCGGGCCTTTTTACTCTTTTTTCCTTCAAAATCTTTGATTAATTTTGACTGAATTTTTTTTTCGCTGTTTTTCCTTTCTTTTTTAACCACGAAAAGAATCTAAATTTTAGAAACTCTCTTGCTAGTTAAAAAGAAGAAAAAAAGGCAAAAAGGCATTCAGGTCAAAATTTTTCTAAGAACTTGAAGAAAAACAAAGCAAAGCAGCCCGACAGCAGAGGTTCAACCGGGAACAAAATCACCTCCACAAGTCACACAAATTAACTTAAACGGCGGCAGGGAAGAAGCGGCCGTCATGTGTCTAATTCAAAGAAAGCAAACTAATCCACTGGTCACACAAGTGTTGCAATTGCTTAATATCAGTTTCAAATTCAGAGACTGACTTACATTTGGTGTGTTAAGTTATGTCCATCCCAACTCTCATTCTTTGTACATTTAGGACACCTGAAGGGAAAAAGAAACAGTTGTACTTTCTTTCTGACTCATACTTTATACGTTCTTCATTTAAACCATCAAAGAAGAAATAGTTTTGAATAATTACAAGTCACAACAACTATTTCACCCTATAGTGATTGTTGTTACCTTTTTTTGAAGGTCTTATATTTTGAATACTTGTTAATTGATATATTCTCAGCATGACATCTGCCAGAAGAGAGAGATAAGTGTTAAAACATCTTTGGTTATCATAACTATGTACTGAAACGACATCCACCACATGATCTGTGACATGGGGGTTAATTACTCACTTAAAAAACTGACTCTAGTTAATAAAAAGCTGGATCATAAACCTATCCATTGAAAAAATTGTTGTCAAGTAGAAAACCAAATACATTTGTAGTGAAAAGTGAATGCTAAGCACTCTATCTCTGGCAAACCGTGGCCAAAAGTATACGAGAATAAAGTAAATGGATGTGCAATAAAACCATCAGACCAAACATGTCTTCTAAGCTTATTTCGCACAAAAACTAGAAATGAAAAATTTTAGAATTTTGGACCAAAATCATGGACTAACCCCTCAGGAAACATCTAATTTGGTGGCTAGACAACACTGATATATTTATAGTCTGGAGAGGCCTGTTTTCTATCTAGAACATCACCAAACATCTCTTCCTAGCCTTTTTCCAGACAAAAATAAGAAATGAAAAATTTTAACATTTTTGACCAAAATCATGGACTAACTCCTCAAGAAACATCCAATTTGACGGCTGGGTGAAATTGATATTTTCATGGTTTAAGAAAGGCATGTTTTCTATCTATCTAGAACATCACCAAACATCTTCTCTAAGTTTTTTTTCGCATAAAAACAAGAAATGAAAAATTTTAAAACACCATGGACAAACCCCTAAGAAAACACCAAATTTGACAGCCAGGTAAAATTGATATTTTTGTAGTCTAGAAAGGATGTTCTCTCTCCATCTAGAACATCACCAAACATCTTTTCGAAGCTTTTTTCGCACAGAAACAAAAATGAAAAATTTAACAGTTTTGACCAAAATCATGGACTAAACCCCAGGAAACATCCAGTTTGGTGGCTAGACAACACTGATATTTTTATAGTCTGGAGAGGCTTGTTTTCTATCTAGAACATCACCACACATCTTTCTACGCTTTTTTCCCACAAAACAAGAAATGAAAAATTTTAACATTTTTGACCAAAATCATGGATAAACCCACTAGGAAATATTCAATTTGGCAGCTAGGTAAGATATATACTTTCATAGTCTAGAAACGCTTCTTTTTTATCTAAGAGCAATCCCTAAACATGTATTCTCAGCTTATTTCGCACACACAAAAAAAGAAATAAATAATTTTAACATTTTTGACCAAAATCATGGACTAACCCCTCAGGAAATATCCAAGTTGGTGGATAGAAAAAATTAACATGTTTAAAATCTAGAAAGGCTTGTTTTCTATCCAGAACATTACCAATCATCTCTTCTAAGCTATTTTTTGCAGAAGATCAAAAAATGAAAAATTTTAAAAATTTGGACCAAAATCATAGACCAACCCCTCAGGAAACATCTAATTTGGCGGCTAGGTAAAATTGATATTTTTATAGTCTAGAAAGGCTTGTTTTCTATCTAGAACATCACCAAACATCTCTTCTTAGCTTGTTTTCAGACAAAAACAAGAAATGAAAATTTTTAACATTTTTGATTAAAATCATGGACTAACCCCTTAGGAAACATCTAATTTGGTGACTGGGTAAAATTGATATTTTCATAGTTTTAGAAAGACTTGTTATATTTACATCCAGAACATCCAAAAAATATTTTCTAAGCATTTTTTTCGCACAAAAACAAGAAATAAAAAAAATTAAAATTTTGGAAAAAAACCGTGGACTAAACCCTGTCCCTTAGAAAACATCCGATTGGCAGCTAAATAAAATTGATATTTTTATATAATGGAAAGGCTTGTTTTCTGTCTAGAACATCACCCGACATCTTTTCTAAGCATTTTTTCCAACAAATACAAGAAATGTAAAATTAACATTTTTGACCAAAATCATGGACTAACCCCAAGTAGGAAACATTCAGTGTGGTGGCTAGGTAAAGTGGATACATTTATAGTCTACAAAGACTTGTTTTCTGTCCAGAACATTACCAAACATCTTTTCTAACTTTTTTTCGCTCAAAAACAAGAAATGAAAAATTTTTGAAATAATGGACAAAAATCATGGAAACATCCAATTTGGGGGCTACGTAAAGTTGATATTTTTATTGCCTAGAACATAACTGAACATCATTTCTAAGTGTTTTTCTCAGAAAAACAAACTAAGAAAAATTTTGCTATTGACCAAAATCATGGACTAACACCTTCAACAAAATCCAATTTAGCGACTTTGTAAAATCACTATTTTTAATCTTAGAAAGGCATGTTTTGTATCTATCTAGAACATCACCAAATATCATTTCTACGCCTTTTTCGCACAAAACAAAAAAAATGAAAAATTTTTCAGATTTTGACCAAACTTAGGAAGTATCTAGTTTGGACAACTTTTTAAAATCAGTACTTTAAGGAAATTTACACCCAATAATGCAGTAACATTTTTAATTTGATTGGATAAAGAAGAGGTATAAATAAGTCAATTTAACATAAACAACTGATTCAGCTTGCTTGCCACATTGAAAACAAGTGGTGAGGACAGTTTCAGTGTTAAGTGTGTCAGCAAGACCCTTACCTCTTCAAATATCATGAAAAATATGATAACACCAATCACTGGCTGCTTGCAAGTTTTTTTAAAAAAGGCTCAAATGAAAAGATCATGAAACTAAACATATTGTTAAAATTGATGGCATTCGAAAATTTACAAGTTGCCTACTTTTAATATGCTCTTTCATTTTCTGCTAACAAAACTTACCAAAAGCGAACTATTTTCGTGTTTACAGTAAGTTGATCACGTGACCAACTATTACAAAAGGCCTATTGATAATCACTATGATCATTCTTGGAACAATAAAGAACCCATTCAATCTACTTTGTTTTCAAATAAAACAAAGGAGTCTATCCTTTGAGCTGGTTCCTCCATTTCCTCCTTGTGACTTGATCCTGAAAGATGGTTCCTTGGTTTCTCTTTCCTAATTTCCTTCACATGTCATCCTTGGTACAATCTTCCATCAAAGCATCATCACTGTTCATCTTTCTGCAAAGAAATAGTTCTTAGGTTTGACTATTGATCATTCAGACAATTGCAATGGTGGTTAAGTGTATCCACTCTAAAAAGTAAGCCATTAATATTGAACCATGTCATGTGTTGTTTGTCATATCTGCTGGTTTTGCTCAGACAGTGCTACAATGTCATTGGTCCTCTGCTCTTGGTTGAGCCACAGTATTATTACCTCTGAAGAAACAACGCGACATGTGTGGCAATTTGTCATGATTGTTGGTTTCTCCCAGTTAAGCCGTAATGTCTGTATTTTTTGTTTCATTGGTCTAAATTGTGCATAATATTCATACTGAAATCCATGCCATCTCTTGGTTAAGCTGCCCCAGTTATTGTATGTGAAGACACTAAACATTGGTGGTCCATTTCAATCCATCTCAAGTACTGTTCACCATACATCCTCCAGTTTTCTTGAGACAGTTTAAGTTGCAATGCCATTAGTCATTGACTGCATGTTTAACCCATAATTTCTGTTACTGCTTACTAAGACCCTTAACACATAAATGGTGTTTTTTGATCTGTTGTATGTATTGTTTGTCAGAAAAATCAGTTTACTTCCCTTAGTTTATGATGTCACTGTCTGTCACTATTTGACACTTTGTGTTCATATCCTGCCTAAAAATTGGGATTGCACTCTTTTGGTTAGGTGTGATTTATAATGGAATTATTAATTAGGCACCCATTTAGACAATCTTCAATCAACTTTTTTATGAAACAGAGGATTCTAACTTCTAATCTTGCTACCTCTTATTTGAACTGGTTTCTCCATTTTCTCCTTGTGACTTTGATCCTGAGTGATAGTTCCTTGGTTGTGTGTCCCTGATTTCCTTCCCATACTTTCCTTGACTCAGTATTCTATCAAAGATTCTTCATTGTTCATCTTTCTGCAAAGTCAAGATTGGTTTTCCAATATCAGTTTTTGTTTATTTGACTAGTCAGGGTATAGTGTATCGTTCATTGTATCTGTCAGTTTCATTAAGACAGTGTATTACACTGTACATTACTTAGTTTTAAAATAAAACACAGGAGTCTAACCTTTGAGCTGGTTCTCCATTTCCTCCTTGTGACTTGATCCTGAGTGATGGTCCCTTGGTTTCTCTTTCCTAATTTCCTTCACATGCCTTCCTTGATACAATCTTCCATAAAAGCATCATCACTGTTCATCTCTCTGCAAGGAAATAGGTCTTAGGTTTGATTGTTGATCATTCAGACAATTGCAATTGGTGGTTAAATGTAACCATGCACTCTAAAAAAGTAAGCCGCTGATACTGAACTATGTCATGTGTTCTTTGTCATATCTGCTGGTTTCGCTCAGACATTGCTGCAATGTCATTGGTCCTTAGCCTGTGAACAGGCTCTCTGTTCGGGGAAAGGGTGAAAAAATAGCAAGGAGAGGGAAAGAGGGAGAGCCTGTGGACAAACATTTGGGACCGCCATTCCACAGCACCTGCTGTGCATCAGATCCTGATGCAGCTGTGCATCAGATTCAGACAGAAGTCCCTGTTGGCAAGAACACTGACTGTTGACAGGTTTGATTTACATTGCCCTTTTCGGTCGGCACATGGCATGCGATTTGAATGAACGTTTGTAAACAGGTCTTCTGATCTTTAAGATGGCATCTTATGGCGCTTGACTGATGAGCTTATTTAGCCGCAATGAAGGGCTTTTCCATTTCAAAAGAGCTCAAATAAAAATTAATGTTAATGCAGCGGAGAGCAAATCACGCTGACCACAAAAAAAAAACACAGAAAATCAATATACATGTCATGACCTCTCAGTATGAAATAAGCTGCAAAAATTACATTTGCTCAGTTAAGACTAAACCCTCCAGAGCATCATCTACCCGCCACAGAAAAAAACCCACTGGAAAAAGCAGCATTTTAGCATGAGGTAAAAGTCATGTGTTGCCTACTGACCCCCTTTTTACATGCAAAATTGATTACATTCCAGTGTATTCAAGTGACAGATAACGATCTTGCT